AGTCCCCTCAGGGAAAAGGGCGGCCTATAAATACTAATAAAATCTAAAAAAAAATCTAAAAATCTAAATTTATGAGTTTAAAATCTTCAGTAAACACTAATCCAATTTAATCTTGCAGTGACTGCTACAATTGTATTTTTTTTCCTAATTTTCTTGTGACTGTGTCTTTTTTCATTATCTTAGATTCAAGGAACAAATAAGTCAGCATCTTATGGAATATAAAACAATAATCAATTCAGGTAAGTGGATAATAAAAACTCAAGCTTTTTTATTTTAGAATGTGAAAGTAAATATTTAAAAATTAGGTTAACATTTCCAGAAAAATTAAAATGTCAAGTGTTTCAACTGTCTTTTCTCTGTAGCATAGGAGTTTTCTATGCCACATTTGTGTTGAGAGATAGGAGGGTTCAGTTATCTTTTATAAATATATCTTTTTTTGTTTAGCAGCTGCAGAAAAGATTCCGGATCAAGATAGAAATGAAAAAATATTAGAGGGGTATGTTTTAAATTTTGTTATAAATAACATGATAATATTCTATTTGAAAATTAGAATTGATCTAACTTTTCTTTATTCTTAAGGAAACTTGTATTTTAAAGATTTTAATATATTTTGTTTATTTGAAAACATGCCATATTACCTGACTGGAATTTCTTTCCTAGAAAATGTATCTCAGAGCAATACATACTAAATATGCAGGAGTGGGTGTCCTTCAAATAACTACTATCCGATGTATAGCATATGCCTTTTCTTGTCATGAGAAACATCAAGCTACTTCTTGCATTAATGCCTTATATTTGTTCACTAGTTATATTGCTGAATCCCATCCCATCCCATTTTCATTGTTTAAGGAATCAAAATATGTTTATGCTTCAATTTTCAGTATGCCCATGACAATCATAAGCTTACATCCTTTTCCTATTCTGTTGTGATAGAAATTCTATTAAAAAGAAAAATTATTTCTGAATCAATGTATTAATCTTAAATACGTTAACACTAAATTTGGGTTTGCTGTTTTACATTCTATTAACAAACATGAAAAAAAAATCCACATCTAGTATCTAAACAGATAATCATGTGGTATCACTCTATATGGAGACACTGTCTGACAGTCATTCCGTCACTCTATCAATCAGCAAAACTCTTTTAGATCTGATATGAAACAAATGATCTTAACATTAATTTCTGAGAGAATACAAGTTATTAATTATTAAACTTCCCTGTTATTTTTAGTTCCATAGAAGAATTGGAAAGAGACTTGGAAGAGATAAGGCTATCGTATCAAAACAAAGCTTTAGCATTACAAAGGTAAAGACTATTGCTTTTTTATTTATTGCATTTCTGTATAATATCTACAAGATGTGTCCAGTATAGCCAATTAAAAATATAATTCTACCAAGAAACCATAGTTTTTAAAGTTAAAAAAAATCTAAATTAATTTATTCAGTTACTGTTCAAAGTTATGATGGCGCTGAATGAATGGTAGTTATGACTAGTCCTCAAAGTTCCAACCAGCCCAGCACCCCTGCAGTACTTGTAATCATACTCTGGGCACTTGGTAACCAGCTCCCACTTATGATCAGTTGCAGCATCACACAATCAAGTGTTCACCAGTTGCAACCTTTCCTCCTGGCTTCCCCAGTCAATAGGGAGGTTGGCAGGAAAGGTTGGTAGTCACTAAGATAAGTTTCTCTCATACCTGTGTCCTCCTCCAATCCCCTTATAGCTTTGCAGCCCTCCTTGATCTTTACTATGTATCCCTTCGGCCCCATTCTGACCCTTGCTGTGCATCCTGCACATCCCCACACACCCTTCTTGACCCTTTCCACACCTCCCTCACTCTCTCTCTCCCATCTGTTACTTGCACTCAGTTACTTGGCTCTGGCCTGCCTACAAACTTCCTGAGACTTACAACTTCCTGCTAACTTCTCCATTGAC